TTAGTTGGCGTTTTGAAATATTCCTTAATGGGTTTGGAGGTCCAAATGTTTACAGAGGTTGCAGGGGGGGCGGCTAATACGATGGCAGCGAGCACGTTACATGGGAAGGGAGGGGAGGATACAGGGACTGCGTAGAACAAAAGCAGTTATATTTTATGAGCATTTACTAATAAATAATAAACGTAGTAAAAAAAATCTGTGTGCAAGAAAATCTAGAAAATCATGCAAAATGCCATTACGCTTGACGCTGGCGAGAGAAACTCAAGTAAAGCCAATTAAAACAGCTCCGAATGTACAATTGCATTTTCCTATTTTGAACGAACAGTCTTTCCAAGAATAGCAACTTCTCAAGTTCCGGTCACAATCGGCGATTTGCCGGCAGGAGGGAGTCGGGAACGTGCCTGGTTCAAAATGTCAGCAGCGATAAGTGGGGCTTGGGCGAGATGGCACCCGCTCCTAGAAGCAGGGGGACGGGGGGGGTCGAGGGTCATGGCCGATGGTCGAGACGAGCAACGGAGCGGGAGCCAAAGACCGGAACGCACGCATGCTCAGTTGGTACGGTCAAGATCTGTTGGAGAGGTTGGGGGGGGGGGTGATTAAATCCGCACCTCTGGTTAGCACGGTTGACTACGTACAGTGCGAAAGAAGTTCAACCACTTACGGTGGCGAGATGGTAACTACCTGCCATGCGAGAGGCCGTGGGTTCGATCCCGACCCTGACGCCTGTACATTTGGAGTTTGCATGTTCTCTCTCTCTTTCTTTCTCGCCGTGGTCACGTGGATTTTTCTCCGGGTTCCCCGATTTTTCCCCTCCACATTTAGAATCAACGTGCGCTTAGAGTATTTGGCTGCTATAAATTTCCACGTAATAAGCCACTTCGTCAGGAAAAAATGTCGTGGTCTGCTTCTAAAAAAGAACTACATAGCACAGTGGGCCTTACCTGGTAAAATATTTTTTTTTAGTTTTAGAATAGTTGATAGAGCACATGAGCTGGATGGATTTTTGCATCACAGGTCAGCGAGAGGTGATGACTGCTTGGGGTGGGGGAGAGGCCTTCATCCAGCAGTGGATTGAGCATGACGATTTACGAAGTGTACGCTGTAGAAAGACGAAACTGAGAAAACGAGTGTGCCCGATCTTCCAGGCTGGTGCTGCCACGAAAACCCACCACCGACCACGCTGTACGAGAATTCGCTTGAAGTGCGTGTCGTAAAGATCCAAATCCTCACCTTCCTTCAGGCGCTTTATCACGCGGCTGGAGTGCCGCTCACCGCCGTGCATTTATCTCTTTCTCTGAAGAATAAGAACACGAGATATGTACTGTATTGTGGTTCTGTAAAACCCCGCTAAAAAGCAAACGCCCAGAGAATTGATGTTAGAAAACCTGCTCCCAAAATGTCCAAGATATATGATCCGAATTTTTATATCCAGCACCTCGCGAGCACCTCGCTCTGTGTGCCGCACGCAAATGCTAAATATCCACCGTATAGACATGCACAGGCGGTGCGGGCAAGTGATGTTCGCGAGCAGCATATATGAATCCATAACAGAGGTTTCTTTGGGTCAGATCGCGTAAATACAAATACAGTAAAACCTTGGATTGCGAGCATAATTCGTTCCGGAAACGTGTTTGTAATCCAAAGCAGTCGTATATCAAAGCACTCGTTGTATATCAGTTGTGATCACGTGATGCTCGGCAGACAAAGCGTACACGTACTACTCGTATTGCAAGACCTCGCTCGTTTATCAAATCAATATATATTTTTTTGTTTTTGCTCGTCTTGCAAAACACTCGCAGACCAAGTTACTCGCAATCCAAGGTTTTACTGTATGTTGTTAAACCCGCCACCGCCCGACAGCCAATTAGTAAGGTTTGTCACGTAAACAAAACATAACAGTTCGTTACTATTTCAGCACACCGGTGTGTTGGAGAGTCATCACCGCAACGTTTCCAATTCGAGTACGATGTTTCGCCGGTAATTACAACCAGCCTCATCAGGCGACAGCCAGAGTTGTGGAGAAATCCTCCTCCTGTCACTTGTGGGCCAATCAGGTGTGAAGACCTATGCAGGTCAGCACGGCACACGAAGGGGTGGGTGGCCAGCACCATGCCCCGGGCCGTCATTAGTCTGCCGGAGTGGCGATGTTTTACATTTTTGCAGCCTCGGTACTCATTTGAGGCCGAGTCGACTTAGAGGAGACCCACTCTAGGCCCGTTTAGCCCCCCCCCCCCTTTCTATCCGGTCAATTTCCATATGGCACACACGCACACGCACGCTCATCTGGCAGCCATAAAACATCATTTCCGTTTATTTGCGTAATTGACGGGCCAGCCTTTGCATAATGCAATCCCATTTGAGATGTATAATTAGCAGCAACGTCTCATGTCCCCACGAAGGCCGTTAATTTTCCTAACACGCCTCGTGTCTTGTGGGGGGGGGGGGGTTGGGTTTTTTTTCTTCCTAAGTAATTGTAGCAGTTTGCTTAACCGCGGCAGCGTAATATATTACGGTGTAATTCTATTTACCGTGCAGTTAAACGTAATGTGTGGTATTTATAGGCTAATGTTGCCTTACATTGGCCCAGGACGCTAGTTTCCTTGAAGAGTTTATTCATATCGTGCACGTTTCCTGGAATTTTGACGTCGCGCCTATCGAGGAGGCATTCAAATGAAATGTCTACATGTGATGTTAATAGTTCTTCACAGGCCATCATCATCAATTATCGTCATTATCTTTGTTCAATCCACTGCTGGGTACACTCCTCATCCCCCACCACCCCCACCCCGATTCATCGCTGTTTCACCCGTTGGCTCTCGCGATGCAACGAGCGATATGGTTGCTGCGCACGAGTTGGTTCCATCGCTCCGTCTCCATGGCGGACGTCCTCTTGGGCTGCCACTTCGACTGACTGCGGCCTTAACAATTTCTCGTTCCGATGATGACAAACGTGTACGTCATCAGTTTTAGAATAATACTTTATCGAGAGCAAAAATAATACACGCACGTCATCGGAACGGAATCGAAAGAAAAACTTAAGTAAAATAACTGTATCGGTACCGAGGTTCACACAAGGCCATGAGGAAAGAGGGCGCGTGTTACAATTTGGTGCCAACTTTATATTATAGGGTGCGGCGGTCGTGTCGCTGCAGTTCTCTGCGGTGAGTACGGTGTCTTTAAAAACAACGGCGCTGCTGCACCTCTAGAAATAAAATTAACGCTGAGCCACTCACGCGTTTCGAGATTCGGCGGTGAACGGGACACCACCCACCCTGTAACTTGCAGACGTCTCGGAATGGGAAAGGGTTAAAACAAAAAAAGATGTACAGGTAGCACTCGGATTTACGAACTTTCGGTTTATGAAATTTCGCCTGAACGCAATTGGCAAATTGTAGACGCGTTTCGATGAATGGAATCGAAATTTCCACGTTCACGAAATTTCTGCGCCATCCGTCCGCTACTGGACATCTAGTGGTAAAGAGCTTCATAGCTCATCAGATTTCGCCTCCAGTCTAAATAAAGGTTCCGATTCTGGTCCGTGACAGCGTCACGGCATTCCTACAGTGCAACAGTGACACCTCCATATCATCACCTATCTAGGCAGTCCAACATGCAGCAGATCTTTTGGTGAGTTGCCTGAAAAGGTTAATTATTTTTACTTTAAATTCATTATTCAATCGTTTTATTATGATGGAGTGGATGAGTTCAGACCATGGATGCCTGATGAGAATTACATTTCAAAAATGTTTTCTCATGACTAGTTTTTTAAATGTTCCAAAGTCTTTTACCCTTTTATCTGGCACCAAAACTGGCACCTTTATACAAGGGATCGTGTTTGTAATAACCACAACACAAGCAGTCAAAATGCAAACAAAAAGAGACAACTCTGATAATGATATGCACTGTCCTTGAAATTGATTGGTCCACACCCGAGACGGCTTTTCTTAGAGCCTAGTCTCCACTGGTGTTAGACCAGATGACGCCAAAAGGCGCCTTTTGGCGTTTTCTGATGACCCAGTTTTTTAATCGGCGTATGAACATTCGCACCAATCGAATCGGTGGAGCTTGGGCAGGGAACACGCGTGAAACCCGCTCAATTCGATGCCCTTGTCAATACTTTTTGCCTGCGGTGAGTAGTTGCGATGAACCTGCTGGGATGGGCACGCGTGTGGAAGACTGGACCCCAGCCAAGAAGAGCAAAATCCCACCGGAGCCATTGAAATTATTTCGGATGCGCACACGTACACCCACCCCATTTCGTAAAAAAAAAATGAAATTCTTATAATCCATAACTTAGCAATTTTTTTGTTATTCGCGCAATTATTATAGCATACCTGCAATAGTTTTGCAGTAGGGGGCGGTGTTACTATGGTGGATTCCCAATTGAGTGATTTGCGAGGTTCAAGCGTGGCGCCGGTGGTGGCACGTCGCGGGGGTCTTTACGCCGAGCCTGCAAGCAGCAAGCGGTCAACGCGCTCCCAGTAAATGTGCAACGTCGGGCTCGCAACGTTGCTGGCTCGACGTTGGCTTTACGTTTTTCACGTTCGCTTGGCCTAACCGCTGGGCCAATGTCACTGCGTCTGTGACATGTCAATCGACTGCTGGACGAGGGCCTCGTCAAGCATGTGCGGGTCGTGGCGGATGTTTGGCTATACTTCACCACACTGGTCAGGGTGGAGGGTGGGCAGGGGGGGCATAGATGTGTTCGAATGTAATTGCAGTACAGTACAACAAATGTTTTGTTGTTGTTGTTGCACTGCCCATTGCTGCCCAGCACGGGGCACTGCCCCACAAAAGATGGGAACGGAAGTTTTAAAACGTTAAACATTGAATATGGTTCGTGGTGAGAAGATGCAATTACCGTAAGTCTCTGGATTATAAGGACACGTCTAAGAAAATCAAATGTTGGGGGGGGGGGGGGGGGGGGCGCGTCTTCGTGAGGTGTGCCTAACCAGATTTGCGTGCGTGTTAACCAGATTTGTGTAACCTTGTTGGCACTGGGTCACCTCTGTAGCCACTCTAGCCAGTCATTAGCCACTACAGTCAGTCATTAGCCACTCTAGCCAGTCATTAGCAACTCTAGTCAGTCATTAGTCACTCTAGCCAGTCATTAGCCACTCTAGCCAGTCATTAGCCACTCTAGTCAGTCATTAGCCACTAGCCAGTCATTAGCCACTCTAGTCAGCCATTAGCCACTCTAGCCAGTCATTAGCAACTCTAGTCAGTCATTAGCCACTATAGTCAGTCATTAGCCACTCTAGTTAGTCATTAGCCACTCTAGACAGTCATTAGTCATTCTAGCCAGTTATTAGCCACTCTAGCCAGTCATTAGTAATTCTAGCCAGTTATTAGCCACTCTAGCCAGTCATTAGCCACTCTAGTCAGTCATTAGCCACTAGCCAGTCATTAGTCACTCTAGCCAGTCATTAGCCGCTCTAGCCAGTCATTAGCCACTCTAGTCAGTCATTAGCCACTAGCCAGTCATTAGCCACTCTAGTCAGTCATTAGACACTCTAGTCAGTCAACCACTAGCCAGTCATTAGCCACTCTAGCCAGTCATTAGCCACTCTAGCCAGTCATTAGCCACTCTAGTCAGTCATTAGCCACTCTAGCCAGTCGTGGTTGTAGCAGTGGGCAAGGGTTGGTCTCGCCATGTCACCTCCGTAGTCACTAAGTCAGTCACAATCAACTATTGTCAGTCACTATCCACTAGCCAGTCGTGGTTATGGCAGTGAGGCTCGCCACGTCACCTCCGTAGACACACTAGTCAGTCACTATCCACACAGTAGTGGCTGTAGTAGTGAGGAGGCAGGAGCAGGAGGGCTAGTCTCGCCATGCCACCTTTAAATCACTCAAGTCTAGTCAGTCACTATCCACTTCCAGCCAGCAGTAGCGACTGTAGCAGCGACGAGGAGTAGGAGGAGTAGGAGGGTTGGTTAGTGATTGACGCACCAGTCAATCACTAACCACTTCTACAGCCAGTGGTGGCTGTAACAGAGGCGGGGCGCTGGTCTCGCCAAGTCACTTCTGTGTAGTCACTTCAGTCAGTCACTTTCCAACTCAAACCAGGAGTTGGTGGTGGCTGTAGCAGCGAGGAGGAGGCAGAGGAGGAGGAGGAGGCAGAGGAGGAGGGCGGGGCGCTGGCCTCGCAGTTGTCACCTCTGCAGTCACTTCAGTCAGTCACTATCCACTCCATCCAGTCCGTGGCTGGAGCAGCGAGGAGGAGGGAGGAGGAGGAGGGCGGGTCTCGTCAATGTCCCTGTGGCCGCCGAGCTGCTGCTGCGCTCGCTGCTCGCTCCTCTCTTTGCACTTTAACGCCCCATGAGGTGAGTGGAGCTCCACGCTCGGTCGCCCGCCCGCTCGCCCGCCCTCTCTGCCGCTCGCTAAGCCGTTCGCTCGGCTGCCCTCTCGGCCGCTCGCTCGCTCGGCCGCCCGCTAGGCCGCTCGCTAAGCCGCTCGCTCGGCCGCCCTCTCTGCCGCTCGCTCGGCTGCCCTCTCGGCTTCCCTCTCGGCCGCCCGCTCGCTCGACCGCCCGCTAGGCCGCTCGGCTGCCCTGCCCGCCCGCTCGCTCGCTCGGCCGCCCGCTAGGCCGCTCGGCACCCCCCTTCCCCTCCCCAACCCACCCCGACCACGACCGCATCAATCGCGCTCAGGCCGCCGCCGCTGCCGCAGAGAGAAACCCGCGTGACAACGATAGGTTTACGTCGGTTGTCGAAGGTTCTCCTCTTTAACAAACCAAAAAAAAACATAAAAAGGCGTTTTAATTTGTTTTAAAACGTCTTCGGCGGGCGACGTCTCGTCTCTGTGGAGTCGCGCAAGAACCCGACTTGGCGATTACTGCAGCGAGGCAAACTTTATTTCATTATTATTATGTTGTTGCTTGTGTTATTTATATTTGTGGTTCTTTCTCGCTCAACCTCCGGAGCGTTTTATATATACATTAACAAACCAAAAATGCCATCATTTTGTTTTTTTTTAAAGGGGAGAGTGTTTTAATCGCGTGCCGTTGCTGCGAGTGTTTTAATGTTAACGCCGTTGAATTTGCTTCGACGTTTTGATTTTTTTTGCAAGAAGCCTGAGGCCTTCGCTCCCCCCCCCATCGACGTTTCAGGAACGCGCTTTAAGCGTTCGCGGCAAATGTTACGACGTTTTTATTTTTTTATAGTTAAACTCAATGGACGAGTGGCGGTGGTTGTTGTTGTTGGTTTTGTTTTGTTTGTTAAAATATAAGAAAAAATTGTCGCCGTTTGCTTTAAAGAGAGATTCTTAAGCGATTCGCAAACGCGCGAGATGGCGCCGACCTTTGGTTGGTTGGTTGGGGGGGGGAAGAGGAGAGGCCTTAATCCAGCAGTGGATCGATCATAACCGATGATAACATAACACACATTTTATAGTTTTGTCGAGGGAAAAATGAGATGATTATAACGTGTGGTGGTTATTTTTGTTTTTTTTTGTAAAGCATCGCATTGGCATGCAGCGCATTCTAAAGCGATTATTTAATTACCGAGTCGCGGCCGTGTGGAAGTGCACCCACTGTAATCGCCGTTGTAATTGCTCCCAACGCTACCGTATTTATTTCGCCAATTGTAATTCAAGTTTGTTTTTTTTACGTCAAGTGCACGAAATAACCGCGTTAGCCGAGGACGTGCATCGTCTTGAGGGAGATGATGGAGCGGTGTGGCCCGGGCCCCGTCGCCAGATCCTTGCGAGATGGATGGTGCGGAGGTCGCCTCCATCCAGCAGTGGATAGCTCGCCGATGGGTGGCACAATGATGGTTAACGCCTTAAATAACGTTGACATGCGGTTGCATGTTCTCTTTGTGGTTATTAAAGGTTGTGGGTTTCTCCACCACCCCATCATACGATTCTTATGGTGTGTGTGTGTGTACTGTACGTTGTTTTTCAAGCGGTGTGTAATGCAATAGCCGTGCAGCAGTGACTTGACAACGTCGCTATTTTGCATCGCATCATTACCGCAGCACACGAATTGTGTATTTCGCCGTTGTATTAATAAGTCAAAAGTGTATACAGTGATAATTATCACGTATATCGAGGGGAGGATGGAGCGTGTACGAGCCAGGTGCTGGGCAGATTGTAACATCGCAGAATGTTTGGTGTTAGCGGTGGGGCTTCATCCAGCAGTGGATTGACCGTGGCTGAAAATGATGATATATTATATTTGATGCGCTTTTGGGGGGGGGGGGGGTGAAAAAAAACAATGATTTGGTTATAAAGTTGTTTTAATCGGACTCTCATGCAGTACATTATTCAGTGGTTATTTAATGCGGTAATATTCTGACTTTAATCACGTGATTATTACTCGATATTTTGTTTACTTAGCCGCTGCAACGAAAGATAATGTGCATAATATAAATACGTCTGTAGGGGAGATGGAGCGTTAACTATTGTAGAGCAGGTGCTGCTCTGCACGGGCAGCAGTGGATAGCGCATGGGTGGCTTTTAAATGCTCTGCAGGAATTGAAGGGATTTTTTTTTAGTTTTGGGTGCTCCGTTGCGTTGGTGGAAACTCCACATTCCAATGGCAGGAGGCTATATTAGAATTATCATCAGCCGTGGCCGATCCGCTGCTCGATGAACGCCTCCCCAATTCCCATTGCCATCTTTAACGCTCCTGTAATTGCAGTACAATTTTGATTGACAGTGTTTCAATGCAACCACATCTTAACAGTTCGCCGAATGTGCCGGACGATTGCTGGATTTGTCACGTTATTTAATGCTATAATCTGATACCTTAGGCCATAAGACTCGCCAACAATCCCCACCCATCCAGCAGTGGATTGACAATGGGGTTATCGGTCTATTTTTGCAAATGTAAATTCATCTATGTGCTGCAGTCTTCATTAAATTATATGATATAATTATTTGATAGAAACCGATGACAACGCCTTGACTGTGTTTAGTACTTTTCTAGTTGGTATTCTGTACTTGGAGTAACCTGTCCACTGCTGGCTTACGAGCAGTCAGCCGATATGAGAAATTATTCACCCGCTTGTTTGTAGAGGGGTGACTCTTTGGTTGAATGTAATTACTCAAATTGTGTTGCAGCTAAAACATTACTTAAAGGTAAACCCCTAGGCGCATTACAATGCAGGACAGTACTGTACTTGTATTTAGCTGTGTTGTGAACTCGCACGCCCTTTTGTAATTCTACTGCTGGATAAGGGCCTGCATACGTTTGTTCGACCATACTTCACCATGCTGGTCACTGTGTGTTGGTATGTAAAGGAAGGTACGGGGGGAGCTAGTTATAATTGTACATGATTAAGTACTATAATCCAGCATCGATGGAAAATATATGCGTTATTATACGGCAACACATTTAGTTTTGAGTGAAATTGTAACAACTTAGATTTCTTACAATGCATTATATATTATACTATCATCGTATAATATACTCTACTTTGTTTCCTGTTGATCACCGTGGCCCTGATTTCAATAATGTAATACCTTAAGTTGATAATATATTCAATTGAATGGCTCTTATTGGTGTGGGAAGCTGAGGGTGAACCAGTTGTGACAAAGTACGGTCAGATAACACCCCCCCCCCCCCACGTGACCCACAACTGCATGGGTAAGCCCTCATCCAGCAGTGGGTTGACAAAACGCCTGTTTGTATACGTGCCTAATAATATACCGTGCGCGATACTGTCTCTTTGGTTGCCTTTTGAGTAGTACTGCCCTCGTGATGACCGCACCATCTATCAATCCCTTCGTGCCAAAACATAGAAGCCTCTGCACCCACCCTGCTCTGGATTGTAGTCGCATTAGACCTTTGCAGTGCCAAACAATTGTGCTGCCAAATCTAGTCAAGCTAATGGCATCGGTGGTCCATTATCACATCCAAATGTTGCTAGTTGCCTCTGACAGCTTGCATAAGATAAGCAGCAGGCATTAGTGCATCACTTGGGTTACGGTATATATTTTTAAAAAGGGCCCAGTACAGCCCGAGGGGAAATCCATTTAACATTTTAAACCGAGAGCACCCGACACGTTTCGACACGGCTTAAGTCTTGCATGTGAAGTTTCTTGAAGCGGCTTCTCATCACGTGCAAGTTTATAGCAGCCAAATACTCTAAAACGCATGACGTGGAGGTAAAAACCGGAGGACCCGGAGAAAAATCCACGTGACCACGGGGAGAATATGTAAACTCAAAATATACAGGCAAGAGGGTTGGGATCAAACCCACGACCTCCAGTGTACCGTGGTACCCCAGTTGTGGAGCGATGCATTGGGGGAATTGCTTTACCCTTCTAGGTCACAGAGTTTGCCGGTACCGTTTTCAAAATTAAAATCTTGCATATTGCCCCTGGCAGCGAGACTTGAGTGTGTGGTGGGGCACACACTTTTGGGTGACTGCACGGTTTTTTCTAAAAGGGGCTGGAAAAAAACCCAATTACGGGGTTGCTACCCTGACCTGTGCGTACGAGTGCAAATACATTAAGTTCAATCAGACGTAATTTGGGCGCACGTGCTGCAATTAGGAGCTAATTTGACGGGAATTTCGTAAGAGATAAATAAAAGTAATGACATTAGGGTGATGCTTGTTAAGAATTCATGTGGCATTAGCATTATGGTTGTCTCTTTTTTTAAACTAAACGTGACCACTCAATTGGTTAAACCAGCACAGGGGCCTGTGTTCCATAACGACACTAACATTTGATTGTATTTGCGAGGCATTGCACTAAATGTCTACAGAGGCCCCTGGGGATATTGTGCCAAAGTCGTCAACTCTCAATCACAAATGCATTCTGTCCGGGGTCGACTCGGCCCATCATACCCAGAGTAGAATAGAAACGTGAAATTACCACAACTCGGGGCCGGGAGTGGAGATGAGGAATGTCTTGCACTTACTTGAGGATGTAGACCAGTGTGTTCTTCACTGATGTTCAGATGGGAGTGGGGCATTTTCGCCAATGAGACAACACTGCGAGGGCCGCCCACACGTTTGGAACCGTTGGGGTTTGAAAGCACGATGGCGGTATTTTCAATGTGTGTATTTTCGGGGGCCACACTAAAGGCCACCAACAGCCTTGCGGGCCTTGTAATGAAGAACACTGGCATGGACACTTAGACTCGAGCCATCTCCTCGCTCGAGCCATGAGTTGCAGAACCGAATCGCTCTCGAAATCTCGCAACTCAAATCATCCCCTGCAACTGCTTTGGCCACATCTGAGTGCATATTTGCTCAAAAAGGAAATTCAATGGTGTTTTCAGGATCCTAGGTCGCACATGTGCACGCAATGAAGCGTGTCGCTGCAAATCGCCGAAAGCAGAGTCCCTCTAAGTAACCGGTTGCGCAGTTGTTCGCATCTGGTTGCAGAGTGACCACATTTAAGCGATGCAGTTGCATGCAATCAATCGCACAGGTATGGACCCCATCTATTCACGAGTGTGTATGGCTGTGGCGGATTGAAGTGGACCGTGATGAAGACTACTTAAAAGCGTATCCTGCTTGTTTGAGTAAACTGCACTGGAACTCGGCATCTGTGCAAACAGCTGCCGCCACCTTTCCTGTTTGACACAGTTTGCGGCTTGTTGCTACTCTTGCAAACTTTTCCTCCTCCTTCCCCACCCCTCACCAAACTAAATACAGCGTTGTTATAGCTACACGATGTTATTGCTTGCGAAATTCCGGATCCATTAGCCACAGATCTCACTTGTGCGTGAGTAGCACCTTGAGGTTTTTTTCTTCTTGGAGTCCGAAAAGAATGTGAATAATGTACTGATATTCTACCGCTGTCAAGAATGTCAGTATCTTACCGACATTCTTTACAGTGGTCGGGGCCACCCGTTGCCGTCCTGAATAGTAGGCGTGTAGTTGAATTGTAAGCATGTAGCGTTAGTTACAAGGAGCCCACAAGTGACGAAATCGCATCTATCCCCCTATTTAAGAAAGAAACAGGAGGATTTCACAACATATCTGATGCTGGTTGTAATTACTGGAGAAACATTGTACTGAGATGGTAAATTTTGTGGATTTACTCCAACACACTGGTGCCGTACTAGTAACGAATTGGCACCTTCTGTTTAGGTGTCGGGTGGTGGCAGGTTTAACGACACATTTATATTTATGCGCTCTAACTAAAAAAACAAACCTGTGCTATGGATGTAACGTTAGCTTTTGTTTCGCGTGATCTGCGTTCTGCCTCTTACGTTCTATTGGCCTAAAGGTGACAACTCGGCATGAATTTGTAAATAATTCTCAAACACCAGGATTCAATACGTGCACGTAGCGCGGGTGAGAAAATATCATTTGCGTTGAGCAGCCATCAAAATATTTACCTGTTCAAACGAGTGGTATGCGAGGGTCTATCTTCACCGTTTGGTCCTCAACCAGAGTTGGAATTTGTGCACCAGGCAAGCCTGCCTCTCCATAAGACAGCCACTGTAAACGTTCATCAATCCTGGAGAGGGGAGTGAAGATGAGTTCGCTCAAAAAAACTGTTGAAATTCAATTTCGCAGCCTTCGCATTAGCTTGGCACTGCTTACATGGCCACCCGGCAAGATAACACATCACATTTGTTAATAAACTAATTTTTTTTGTATTAAACAATCCTCGTAAGTTGAGCTGTGGGCAAATCACCAACTTTTCACTTTCTGCACGGTGAGAATGGGAAACATTAAAAAGTGCTGCGTGATGATTGTGCCTCCCTAATGCCTCTTTTCAGCTCTAATCCCTTTAAAGTATTTGGTCTGACATTGCATAGTTTTTTGTGCTGTCGTGAGATGTCAACTCTCTCGCCTGGGATGCAGGAGGTCGTGGGTTCTATCCCGACCCTGACGCCTGCTTTGTATATTTTGGAGTTTGCGTATCTCTCTGCCTGTGGTCGCTTGGATTTTTCTCCGGGTTCTCTGGCTTTTTTTCCCCTCCACATTTAGAATCAACACGCATTTAGAGTTTTTGGCTGCTATATATTTACGAGCAATAAGCCACTTCATTTTGTGGCCAGGTCGCTTCTGAAAAAAGAGCCGATAACTCGGTGGGTCATACCTGGTAAAATCAAAAGGTTAGTTTTAGTTTGACCCGTGCCGTGCTCTTCACCTCCTCTCCTCTCTGTCCTCTTCCTGCCGCCACTGTCCCCCTGCCCGCGCTTGAATGACTTCCGACAGGGACAGGGAGGAGGCGGACTGGAGAGGTGAGGAGCAGCAGTTGATGGATGATAAGAAAAAGAAGAAAGATGACAAGAAGAAGAAAGAAGCCCCCATGAAAAAGGTACATAACACACGGGAGAGAGATATCGTGCCGAGATATGCGCGAACCATACCTTTGACGTGTTAAAATGGCGAAATTCTTTACATCTGGTTTTTAAAATAACGTCGCGTATCCGACCGTCACATGACCGCCCACGCCTCGGGGCAGTATGTCGGCATTGTGGCTGTCGTTTTTCCATGGATGTTCACAAAATCCGAATGCTTCACACGCGGTAATGTGGCCTTCCTCTCGCGTACATCGCAAACTGTCGCACGTGTCCACGGTGATGTAATGCGATGTTGTACTACGTAGATTATTTACGATATAAATAAAACAAATTCTATTCATGAACTGTTGTCAAATGTCTGGGTAACCGTGCTTAACATTTTGCCTGGGTGTCTGTGTGTCTTTGTTAGGCAACGGAACAAAAACCAAAAGGTAAATATACCAGGGCAGCATTTGCACCGAAACACGTTTAAGTTACTAATTTGTCATATTTATACAATTATTGCTAAGTGGCAGCTTTAATCGAGAGGGAACCATTTTTCTCGATTCTGCACAGTAGCATATCCTGTTTGGAATGGATTGCATCTCTGCTGTTCATTTCTCTTAATATAGTAATTGCAACCAATTTGAAAACATTCTCTCCCTCTGCGCACGAACATATATTGCACATACACACATATATTGCACACACACACAACCAGTGGGCAATCAACCAAGGTACTTTGCGTCAGCATATTTAGTACAGTGTAGTTATTGCAAACGGGCCAATTTGGCACCGTGTCCAGATGCACAGTAGCCTGCCGTTGCTAATGATGTTGCAATGTCGTCATGCCTTTAGCGAAAGAAAACAAAGCTTGCTCGTGTGCTGTCACATTTCTGGGGGGTGGAGGGCGAGCGGCAGGCAACGCGGGGAGCTTAGAGAAGGGTTCTTAATGAGATTCCTGAAAAATATGGCCATTGCTATATCCATTCATTCATCAATCCACTCTGGACACTTCACATTTTCCCAGGAAAATTATATAACCCTCCCTAAACCGCTTACTACGAAACGTACAACACGGCTCGCCAGGACCCGATACCCACATCTATGTTTTCCTTGCGGGGTCGGGGGGCGAGATTGCCAACGAAGGACTTTATTAAGCAAAGGTTTGAAACGAAAATGATTAGAATTGTGCTGCGCACCAATGCACGTTCGATGAGCGCGTGCGTCCATTTGTACATATGTTTCTTTGTACAGTTGAATACCCCTTACAAAATGGAGGCTCCTTTAATGGATTGGCTTTTTTGGCAGCTTGTGGTCTTTTTCCACTCCACTTAACGTTTCGAGTGTTTGTAGCGGAATGCAGCCGTTCTCTCCGTTTTTACGGCCGTGCTCTGCTTCGTTTTCATCATCGCTAACGCTCACGATACTGATGTCCCATAAAATCTTGTTTCATTTCTATTAATTGCAATAATGGAGTGCGCGTTTTTAACCGCCCGAACGACGTTCCGAATACGGCAGTGTTACCATGCGTTTCTGCGCGTGGCAGTTTCATCATAGCGTAGTCTTGTGTTGCGAAGTCATCTCCTGCCCCACCCCCACCCCGGGGCCCCTCTCCTTGCTTACCGTTACATACAAACCCACTTAAATGTCACGTGCTATGAAGAAGGGCCATTGGCGGAATTGTTGCCTATTTTATATATATTTTTTCATTATAAGGCACCGCTGACGAATGTGAGTTTTGCAGCGAAGACGGACGTCTGCGCGCTGTTATGCATTAAGAGTTGCAGTGCTGATTTCAATTCATAAATTACAATCAATGGCATTGATTTTTCCCACTGGGCGAAATGGAGCGGTGCCTGATCTGAATGCCGTAAATCTTTCTTAACGATGTGACCAATCTTCAACAAAAAAAAACACGTCACGGATGGTTCATGACCCACCAATTTCGCCCGGGATTTTATGTTTAATGTGGAAAGGTCAAGGGGGCTGAAGCTATAATACGCCCCAACACCTGCCACTCACGTGTGTTTGCCTTTCACTGCCCTCACCATTGGACACGTTTATGTGGTCCTGACACGTTTTTTTGTGCATTGTCCGTGACTTGCCAGGGGCTTATTTTTGGTTCAGAGGTCGGATGTAATGGGTTAACAAATTTGTGCTAAAAAAGAACCCCGGTGAATTCCCTCTGCTTTTGTAGCCACGATGCACGGTGGCTTTTTGAACCGTGTGTTTTTTTTAAAGAGACGTTTGGCACATTGCGGCTTTTAATTAGCTTATGTCACAAGAGTGTTTAAGCTCAAAAAGGCAACGTTAAATGGATCACTGGTCATCGTTTCATCAAATATCGCTCGTGCTTTTAAAAAGTGGGCAGAGCTTTTAGCATCGTGAGCTCTTAGTCACAACGGGTTTCAATAAGCCATCGTAGTAATTGTTTAGCATATCAACAGCTTGGCATATAACAATTTACCCTCCAATGATTGGAAAAAGGCTGAACTAGTTCATCAATAACACTACCTTAAAAAGTAACTATGTAATAATTATAGGCTACATTTTTTCACGCAGGAGCCCTTCATGACACACAGAAAAGCCGGAGGAAAAAAATGTGATTTCCAACGATTGGATTAAGTGCCCTGATTTAAATCACGAATCAATCTTTTTTTCGTCTTGTTTTTGAATTGTCTCGTTCGTATTTGTCACTCTCATGCTTTCTGTTTTTGTGTTTTGTTCGGTGACTTAGCCTACAGGTGCATTGGTATATAATTGGCATAAACTTTATAAGCAATTAATTATTGGACTCAAGAATCAATGTATGCCTAACAACAACAGTGATGATGAATACAAATCTATTGTTGCTATTACAGCATCTCGAGGTGCAGTTGGTATTTAGATGCTATATAAATCGAATTCGTAATGTATATAATGCTGCGTTGGCATTGGTGCACAAAAGCAACGCGTGAGGTCAGGGTTGAGCCTGGTTAGTGCTTGATTGGACAAATGTGTTGGGTTTTTTTGTTATTGGTATTAATAGATAATTTGAACGTCCACTGTTTTTGCTGTCTGTGTCTCTGTCTGCCGTCACGTAAAGTGCCAGAACCGACCAAATCCGGTGCACAGCAGCCTGCTGGCAATCACGCCAGCCACAGCACTTCCTGCACTAGCAACAACAGCACTAGAGGCAGCACTAGCGGAGCCAGCAACAGCAGCAGCAGCAACAACAACAATTCCACCAGCAACACGGGCAAACGCTCGGCGCTCGCCGGCAACGGAGCTCAGCAGCAGCGGCAGCAGCAGTCGCAGCAGCAGCAGTCGGTGCAGCAGCAGCTGCAGGCATTGGCAGGGCAGCCACAGCAGCAACAGGGGCAGCAGCAACAGGGGCAGCAGCAACAGCGTGGGTTTCCTACGCGAGAAGTGCCGCCAAGATTCCGCATGCAGGAGCAAAAGCAGCTTCTGAAGCGTGGACAGATTCTGCCTGGCGCTGGCACTGCGGCGCAAGCCGTCATTTCTACAGGCGGTGTCATGGCGGTGCAGGTAAGCAGCAGCAGAACCTTGTGTTGTAGATAGAATTGAAGGGTGGGGGGGGGGGGTGGGAGCTGCTTTCTGATTGTCCATTTGGTGCTCTGCCACAGCGCCGACTGGCCACATTTGTGCGGGACGTTAACAATCGTAAGTTGCGTTTAAAAGGGGGGTGTGTTGTGTAAAAAAAAGGGTTATTGCGACCCAAATCGCCCAGAATGCGCCCACTCTTGTCGCATCTCGAAAAGTGAGCCTGTATATTGCTTTGACGGCTGACCACTATGGGATGTGTAAAGCAGGTTCTGTTGGCTGCTGCAGGGGTGAATAATAAGAGTCCTGTGACCGAATCGGCCGGAAATGTTTCCGGTCGCGTCAGACCTCTGATGCCAAGCAGGGTTGAGCCTGGATGGTGCTTGTGATGGCTCTTCTTTTAAAAGTATAACACGCGAGACTCGGAGAGGCGACGAGGAAGGGTTTTTGCAGTGATGATATGTTAAATGCCTTGCTTCGTATACAGGAGGTCGTGGGTTCGATCCCAACCCTGACGCCTGCTGTATATTTTCATGTCTCACTCCCCGTGGTCGTGTGGATTTTCTCCAGGTTCTCTGGTTTTTCCCCTCCACATTTAGAAATATAAGTTTATATTTGGCTGCTATGATTTTCAACATAAGCCACTTCGTTGAGCTATCATGTGTGATAGCCAGGTCACTTCTGAAAAAGAGCTATATAGCTCGGTGAGCCTGTCGATTGTGTTTTTGGTGGAAAAAACAATAGAGTGCATTTATTGTTTGGGTTGCGTCTTTAAAATTTGGTGATGAATTTTGCCAGAAAATTGAGGGTTTAATAAAAAAAATTAGATGTGCTCCTGATTGTAAAATGTGTTCCATTTCGCTCTGCGCACTATTTGATGGTTTCGGTTTGATTTCGAAAAAGGTGGACGGTTACTTTTGGTAGAATAAACTCATTTCATTGTCGGGTCACGTCGCTCCGTTGCCGAGTGTACATTTGTTACGTAACCACAGCGTGCTCTGTTGAGGTCACAGCATTCATTTCTGTGGTGCTTGATATTTTCAGGCCATCATTCCTCTGCGGTCACTGTAATAATAATGTTTAGTGTAAATATAGGGTCATTCATGCAAATTATATATCCCAATCACCGGGGAGCCACGGACAAGCCGGAAGGCAGTAAACCAGGCAATGTGCCGGCACCACCAATTGCCCACGCTCTGCATACATAAAGATGTTTTCAGCCAATTATTGAATGTATTATACATTATAACATAACACAATTACCATCTTGTATGCCAGCGTATAGTCATCACACAGACAAAATACATAAGCAGACAAATACACCTCCCTCTTTCCTACATCTTGTTTCTCCAGGTAAAAAAGTGTTTCGTTTACATGGCAGTCGGTCAAACCTACGTACTTGCCACAATTACTTGGACATTTCACCGCTGGGCCTAGGAGCTGCCAATGGACCTTGGAGCTGCCAATGGACCTATTCCACGCCCCACGCTGGGTTGAGCGGGGGGGGGGGAAGCGCCGGCTTTTGACGAGACTATTTTTAACGCTCAAATATTTTCATTGTCAAGACGTGAAAGGGCGTAATGCAGCGCTACGAGGTTGGGGGGGGGGGGGGGCCTCTTGCGCTGCGTGTGTGCATCGCATATAGATGGATTTGACTTGTGTCAGAGTGACCTCCCTATCCACATGGTGCCGGTTCAGTGATGATTCATGCGCAGGGCCCCCCTCTCCCCTCCTTCGAATGCCTTGTTGCAAATTGAATAAAAGAAAAGAGGAAATGCAGTTATGCAGTAAATGGCCAGGCTTCCAGGATTTAAGACATTTAATGTTGTGATTATTGTGTTTGATAGTGAAGGAAGACGAGACTGAGCTCTCCTAGTGCGTTGTTGAAATGATGCATTGACATTGTTGCAATGTTAATGGGGAAGTGTTGTACAGTCTTGGTCCTTACTTTTCATTCTTAAGAATGTACAGTTGCAATCACCCTCTCCGGCAACAACACTGCATTGTGTTTATGTGGGTGAGTCCCGTTAGCACGTGTTCCGTTTTTAACGCTTTACAACTGCGGTTGAATGATTTAATGTCGTATCTTTGTCAGTTTGTCTGCAGCAGGTTTGGGGCTTCAAAATAATGCAATTGGAAGTAAACTTCGATTTAAAGCTTTCGTGACTGCAAGGATTCATCTTCTTTGGTTCTTTCGGTAAAGTCACGTAGAATGAGAATTTATTATTTTATTCTCATTCTACGTGACTTTACCGAAAGAACCAAAGAAGATGGAAGTAAACTTTCTTTTCAAGCTGTGTTGCTATTCGCGACTCACCAGCCAAATTGCTATTAAAGAGTTTCCCAAATCCTGATGATATTCATTAAACTTCAACAAATACTTCTGGGGACAAATGCTTGTTGCAAAGCCTTACAGAAATGATGCACGTGCATGATTGTTCTTCCCTTGCTTGACAGGGAGCTGCTGCGGGCAATGCCGGCGTCTGTGGCAATTCACCCTCTTCCTCTTCTGGTGTCAACAGTCAGCATTCTTCAGCACATCCCCTCCCCCAAGGTGGTGGCAGAGGCACCAGCGGCTTAGGTAAGTGCTAGACCCTCACAGCTGTGGTTTTCACACCTGATGATGATTGCTTGTGTTGCAGTCGAAACGTCGTGAGAATTTTAATGTTTTATATTTTTATTATTTTATTGTTTCCCTTCTACGTGACTTTACCGAAAGGACCAAGACTATAGCATTGTTCATGTTCATCACAAATATGTTTTGTATTGTGTCACATGTGCCGTGTTTCCCTGACCCCCTCACTGTCGTTTACCTGTTCGTTAATTGTAACGTAACCACGTGACATGGGCGGTGACGTGGTTTAACGGGGTAACGCATTCACGGAGGGTGCACAGTTATCCAGCATTAACCCTAAAAAATTACTACGCGCCGTCTCCTTCACAGTGGACGTTTATAAAAGACCACGTGACGTCATACGCCAGAACGGGCCATCGTGTTCCGACGTCATGGTCCTAAATGTAACAAATTTGAAAAATTGCCCACGAATTGCTCAGTTAGGATTGCACGTGGCAATCATCGCCCCACCCTGCTGCGAAAACTAAGCAGGGGGGGGACCCTCCTGAAAAAGAGTCCGTGAGACTCGGTGAGGCTTTGCTGGGTAAACGGGCGTTGAACTAATAATAATGGTCCACCAAATCTCATTGCGAAGATAGATGCACGCGCCGCGCAATTTGTCAGTGCACTTTTTAAGATGGCGTTCCCACCATAATTATCATATTGTATTGTTGATGCCCTGAAATTGCTTGGTTACACCACTGCTGGCAGAATGGCCCTCAATAGAGGGAGTTCCAGAGAGGCCATTGAGGTTTTGGCCTACTATTCCACGCTGGCCAGATGTCTTAATATACGCATTTTTATACATTATCACAGGCGTATCCATAATCTTCGTACTTAAATATTGCTTTTGGTGCATAACTTGAGACACTAGAGTATAAACTCTGTATATATTAGAAGGATTTTTGAGATTCTGCTTGCAGGGCAGAAGCAGAGGGGAGGATACTTGAGGGTGACATGGAAGGATGGGGTGGGAGGAGATTGAGGATGGTGGATGTGACTGGACGAGAGACCCAGAATAGCAGCATGTGGAGAAATATTTTTGTTTTTAGCAACCAAACCCATGCAATAATGGGGTCTTTGTTTTCAAAGAAGAATACCTGTGGAACTATAGCGCGTAAGGCATGCTAATTGGATTGCTGCCTTCCCAAGTAGGGATTTAACGATTCTTTGATTGAAATTGATGAATTGGACTCCTAGTGTTATGCGTAGGGTCATGGATCCAAAAGTTAATTATCTCTGATTCATGTATCTTGTATGACATTGATTCACAGCAGCGTTTCGGATAACCGAGCTGCTGCATGCATTACAATAACAAAAACAAACTTTGAATCGTCACTCCAAATCAAGAGTGGCGAATTGTTACAGCTCTACAACTTGGGTGGTTGTTATTTGGCTGGGTATAGGTGGCTGTAATTGAGCGCTTTGGAGATGAGGTTGGTGACACTGATATGTTTGAGACACCAGGCTTTCAAGGCGCCCACGCCAATTAGGTTGCTAACCTATCCTAGTGGAATTTCGAGCGTCATTTTGTGACATTTTAAAGTTAATGGGCCAAAAAAAGCGATCTACTCGAATGAGTATTGAGGTGGTGCTCCTTTCTGGTTAAAGCCCCGAGACAGTGGTGGAAATTCCACATTCCTGTGGCGGGACCATAGGAATGGGGGACTCATCGACCCCGGAGGGATAATGGGCTGAGTCAACCCCCTAGGAGGATTTGAACTCGGTCTTCCAATTGCCAGCTCTTCGCCCTCTACCGCTGAGCCACCTGGCTACTGAAGCGCATTAATGTTTATGACGGGAGGGTGACGGACGCTGTGGAAACACTTGTGCCTTACAGCAAGAAGGACCTGGGTTCGATTCCTCACCAACTCGGGCCCAAATTTGCGTGGAGTTTGTATGTTCTCCCCCTGTTCTGCATGGGTTTTCTTCTGGATTCTCCAGTTTATTACTCGTGTAGCTGAAAACATGCAGTATAATTGTTTTTGCCCAAACATCCTAATGAGGGAAGGGCCTCCTAAACAGTCTTTGGACTCAGTCGGGCCTTTTCTGGCTAAGTAAGTAATTATGATATTTGTTTTTAAGATTTCAATTTCTTATTATAACAAACATATCTGTGGCCCGCTGGGATTGATACATAATACAAAATAACAACAACAACAAAATTGTGTGATTAAAAAAAGGCCATTAGACATTTGTGCATCATGCAAAGAATGCCATCGGCAGCAGTTTCTGAAGATGCGCATTGTGATCCTCTTGTCTTGGCCCACCTTCAACGTGACTTTGAGCCAATGCGACTGAGAGCAGCGATTGATGGACAACTGTAGATCAATTTTCGTCCTTAATAGGGCTCATCGGTACAGTGTGGTTTACCAATGTTCACCGCCGCAAAGTCCACCGGGATTTAGAATTTTTCTCGCGAGAACCAAAAGGAGAGGTGTAAATGGCGCGGTGATAATGGTCGGCCGCGATCCACCACCGTTTTTTCTTTTTTCCTTTTTACACGAGCGTTGCTTGTGCAAGCGGATTGTTAATGCAAAGCCGCCAGCCGCCGTGCTCTTACGTGGCTTGTGCCCCTTTTTTCTTGTTGTTACCCAAAATGAAGACAGATGGGAGAATGGCTATGGGAGCCATATCGGGACACTGCGGAAAATCTGACAGGCCATTCAAGTTCACGTTTCGCTTTTGTTGCGTTTGTTTTGTTTGGCCGGCATCCAAGAGACCGGGTCGGGGAGGTTGGTGGTGGTGCGGGAGGGGGTTAGGTGGGAAGGGAGTTGGAGAGGGAGGGGTTGTTAGGTCGGTAAGGAGGGGGGGTGGTATTGGTTTGGTCGTTGGGAGTTGGGGGATGAGGGAGTGGTGGTGGTGGTGGTTGTTGAGTAGGTTGTGTGGTTCCATTTATCTAAACGTTTCAAACTGCTTGCGCGTGTTTGCCAGGAATTTGAGCCGGTGCCGAAAACCATTGTTTATTTTTTTTCTTGACACTGCATTTACTGCGTAATCAATAGAAGGTTTGGGACATGCCAGAGCAAAATGTAGCGTTCTGAATTTACGCACACAAAAAAAGCATGATAACCTGTCTGTGAAAAGCTGTCCTCTTAATAAATGGTCAACAGTTTATTAAACAACCACACCAGACGGCACAAATCAGAGACTCGCCACACTAACTGTTTATTGTGTTGGAATAGAGATGACTCAATTGGCACGATCGCAGTGAAATATACAGGGTGATCCCTGTAAGGATACCCCACTAAAACAAGAGGAATTTATTGCAGAAAACGATTTTATATGTTTCCCACCGATCTCATTACACTTCTTAATACTCTCCCAATATGCTTTGTCCAACATAGGCCGTCTGAGTTGCTTACAACCGCCAATGTCAAGTGACGATTATCATTAGAAATTTGTGGGGTATCTATAAATGGGTCTCCCTGTATAATAGGCTTATGTATGCTCAAAATTAGGCATCCTCTAATGATTCAGCCCCTTGGTGGCCACTTCAATTTTCACAAACCCCGGTCACGATTCTGTTGATTAATTGATTTAGTTCTCACTGGTTCTACCATCTCGCTTGTAATTGCTTCTCAAATTGTTTTGTTTTTCTCTCCGGTCTGTGCAGTTTCTTTGCTTGCTCCGTTAGCGTTTGCATATATATAGTTTACAAATATTGCAGATAATTAATTTTCATGCGTACGATTGTGTCGTGCTCGTAAACCAAGTTTAACGATTGCATCGTTGCATAACCGATTATTACAGACGTATAATTGGCTGTTGTGTCGACGGGTGTACCTTATTCACACTCCTACAGCTCTGAAGAAACGCATTCGCCTGAATTGCTCGCCCCGTTATGTATTTGTTTTAAGGCAAGTGTATGCATTGAATGTCCCAAGTCTCTTTGGTTTGCAGTTTGGTACAACTGCCGGACGAAGACCTCTCAGTCGTTTATTTTATACCAGCACCGTGTTTTATATTATCCTGAAGCAACGCATACGGCTGCGGCGGCTGCTGCTGCTACACTGTACAAATGGACATCATTATGGGTGTAATTTGAGCCTGCTCTCGGTTGCAAAATAGGCCTTTAAAGGAACTCGGTCCACTCTGTGTTAGTATCCCAAGCAGCAAGTCCAGCTTGGCTCGTAAGCCGTTGAGAGTATAAGGTTTTCGGATAATGTTTTTATCCCTTTGCTCCCATTTAAAATCAAATTGAGTTATCAGCATCATGGTAAGAGAGGAGGATAGCTTCCACGTAGAACTCTATTAACAGTTCATCACCCCCCCCCCCTCCCCCACCATGTGAGTGAATGGCTACCGGAAGATGATGGAACAGGTCTACCTAGAAGATTCTTCTTTTTGCCTCTTTTTCACACTCGAGGGATGCTGCCACAGTGTATAATGGTTAGCAGCTCACTGGACATGCAATGCAGAGGTTGAAACAAAGGAGAGGTTTTTTTTTTATCCGCCTAAGCCTAATCCCCAGCCACTTATGTTGCAATATGAATGGTGCCCCACACTTAGTCGATCGAGAGGTCATGTGTCGTGGGTTAAATTGTGTATATGCACCCTCTACTTCCAACTTGTCTTTGCCAGCGTGGAAGAGTAGGCCAAACACCCCTTCTAGAACTCGTTTTAGTGGAGGCCCATTGCCAGCAGTGGGCGTTGAGGCAAGCAACGGCAGGGGAGCACCTCGATCTTTTTTTGTTTTTGTACAACCTAGGCCATGTGTGCACCTTCTCTAACACGCTCTGCTGCAGAGGTATTTGGAACATACCGAGGAAACCAAAACGTTTTACCTCTCGTGCCGAATTATGTCAAATTGAGCAAACGCCCACATTTAATGAATGTTTTTTTGTGGGTTAGATCGCGTAAATATTAAAGTGTCGTAAGTGTAAATGTCTCCAACACAAGTGTTCTGAAGTCGTAAACAAATGGCACGTTTTGTTTACGTGACAAACCTTACTAGTTGACTGTGT